ATAGTATGCAAGAGAAAAGATTTGCTTTACATTCAAGCAAATATATTGGGGTATACGAGAAAATTCATCAGTAGATTGTCTAAGATTTATGGAATTTTTCAATTCAGTTAATTGACTACTTTGGTTAATTAAAGTACAGAGCTGTTTATGAGTTAATATTTTTGATTTCTGACTACTGTGAAGTGATGTTATTTGTTCTATTGTTATTTTATTTTCCATAGCAATATAAGTTAATTGATTATGTGATAGTTGTAGAGGTTTATTTGAAATAGGTAATGCTCGAAGATGTTCCAAAGACATATCTATTATTATATAAATTGATGAAATTGAAATAATGATCAGTTATGAAATATATATATATATACTTTGCATCAAAGCTAACTGTTTTATTTGTTGATAAGTAAGTGAAAAAAATGATGTTTGATCATCTTGAATTGATGATTGTTGCAACATATATAAAGCTATTAATTGACTAGCAGAAAGACCAACAATTTCATGACTATGCATAATATGACGATTAACAAACAAATAAGCAAGTTGTGATATGTTCAAGTGAAACTGTTGAGTTTGTGAATCTTCTTTTTTTAAATTTTGTTGAATAGCTAATACTTTTTTCATATCAAAACTATGTTGATTGATTATATATGCTATTTGTGAGGCTGAGAAAGTGAATTCAAAGTTTGAATTGACGGGTGATAATGAATTTTGTAAATCAGTTTGATTATTAAGAAGTTTATCTATATCGATGTGTTGTTGATTACATAATTCGATTAACTGATTAAGATGAAGAATAAGTGGTAATTGTTGCTGCTTGAATGAGAAATTAGAATTTAATGATAACCAGTTCATCATATCTATCTGAGCAATCAAAAATTGAATCTGTTTTTCGTTCAAATGAAAAGTATTCATTGATGTTTCATTAAGGTCAACTAAAACGAAAAATATTAATTGTAATATTTTTACATTATTTCGAGTTAGTAACAGATTGAATGATCCTTTTATGATATATTTAAAAAACGAGTATCGTAGCATATGCAATTAGATAACACATATGCTACTACTCCTTTTTGACACTCACTGATTAAAGTTACAAGAAGAATTTATATCTTTATTTTTATGGTGAGCTTAATAATTAGCAAATTAAAATGAATAAAATATGCAAACTGAGAAAATCAATTTATGTAGAGGTATACGTAAAATAAGTATATACCGTCATGTATTCGAATATTTTCTTCGATTATAATTTGATTTAACTGTTCTTCAGTTAATTGAAATTGATCAGGTATTTCTATTGTTTGTATCAAGTTTTCGAAATAAACTTGTAGTTGTTCTGCATGAAGACCTTGTTTCAGACATATTCTATTAGATATGAAACAGATTCATTTATACTTTTCTGTCCAAAAATTAGCAAAAAAATGAACAATTAAAATTATAGATTTTTTTATATAATGAACTAAAATAATTTCAGAAATCGTTCTATTATTACACATAACAAATAGAAAAATATACAAAGGTCAAAAAAATATTCACATATATATATGAAGACAAATAATAAAGTATCGATATACTAGATTTATACAGAAACTACTGGCAAAGTTTTGAGTTTTTTCGTATTTAGAGGTGAGGAAAGTTGACTTAGATAAAACTGGTTACAATTATCAAGCAAACTGCTTCCATATTGCCCAAACTGAACGAACTATTGTTGTCTACATTATATATATTTAAATATCCATATACGATTTGAAACCAACGTTTATTGAGCATTATGTTGAGTAAAACTTCAGTTTCTCAAAAAATAATACTTCTTTGCTGTTCACTATTAACGTCTCAAAGTCTTACAAATGACTTGAGATATTTTAACATGTAGCTTATTGTCTACTTGGATATATCTACCAAAACTTACTGGATAAGTCATCTGTCGATTCAATGATAAGATTATTTCGTAGATTTGTAGTACTGGAATTTCCTTTTGTTGCATTAATATTAATATGTTTTACTGATTTAAATTGTTTTTGTTTTTTATTATGTTTTTTCATCGTTTTCTGTTTTTTATTTTGATACAGTAAACATAAATTGTTAAGAAATGAATAATTGACATTTCTATTACTAATGCATGCTTTTGATCTTAATTCAAATCGTGTATGTCTTCTTCGTTTATGTTTATGTTTACCATATTCAGCAGGTGATCGAGATATTCTTTTCTTTATATGTTGTTGATGAAACTACGAAGTAAACATTATTTTTTTACAACTTAAATTTAAACAAAATACTTTTTTAGGATATGCTGATGTATTATAACTTTTTGTATGAATAGATATTGTATTGAGTGTTTTTAAACTATTACTATCAGATTGATTTACATCAATTGTTGATTTATTTTCAATTTTATCTTGTTCACATTCAATAGAAA